TACTTAAGGTGAATAGATAGTAATGTTTGTGTGTACATGTGAACTTGAGAGATTAATTAAATTAAATATTTTAATAGAAGCCATAAAAAAGAATTCTTAGTACGGAGTAACTAATAACAAATCGATACATCGTTGTTTTATAGAGATAATTACCACTCCTACGACTAAAAGATGATGTGTTTCCCAACACATGACCCTATTAGTTTTTTTCCTATTGTATTACCCATATACGGCTCATGACTATTCAGGATTTTTTTAATTATTTTTTAATTCCACTGTCGCTCTCAACCATATTAAGTAAAGAGTAATTAATCATCAAGCATATTGGAAATAATGCAATTATTGCAATCCCATATTAATGCACTAACTAAAAATAAAAACCCTTTAATTGCAAGCCATCTAATGAGTTACTATTGCATTCTTAAAAAAATATTATACAAAACAATATTGCATGATATGAAAATTTAGTATCTAACTACTCACATAGACACACAAAAGCAATTACAAATGTCAAATTTATTGCACTCTTTCAAGGCATTAACAACATATACAGTGATTTCACTGCACACCGGCCTAGAGCTTCATATTTTTTTCACTGCACAACTACAACATATACGGAGTGCATTGTTTACAAATATCAGCTTCACACCATACTCAACTCTACGGCAATTACATTCGTCTCCTACTCTAAAACACAAAATACACTGATTTTGACTATTTCATACTCCGACCGATCAACTAGTATTTGCCTGCAATTTCCTCTTTCCCCTCGCCATTTTTTCCGGCTAGTACGTATGCTCTGTTCAAACTTGCTTCAACTTTAAACCTCGTTTTTTTGCTTGGATAAGTGTCGATCACAATCACGAGTTACAGTTAACATTTCTGTTCTTTCCACAATTAGAGTTCCCGAGAATCATGTTTGGTCGTAAGAGCATCTCCAATGCTACAATGTGCACGGTGCACATGTGGCATGAGAGAGATAGAGATAAAAAATTGATTTTATGACATTTCTCTCTCCGTCTTTCCACGGTCTTGTGTGTTTTTGGTAAGTTTTTCTCTGCAATGTCAACCACAATATCTACATCTAGACATTGTGCTTGACATTGTGAATAAAAACTTACCAAAATGATATAAGATCTTTCAAATAAGGAGAGAGATGTTTTTTTATTGGTTATCTCTCGTGCCACTTATGCATCGTTGACGTATTAGCATTGGAGATGCTCTTACGACCGTCCAAAGACTCCTTTCGTTAGTTTCCTTTTCCAAAGTCTAATTTGTTAAATGGACCGTCCAAGCGCACCCCATTTATTACTTAACCTAACATTACATGACTAATTTAACCTTCATCCTTTTATTGATTTGAAGATTAAAATTACCGCTTGAAGCTTTACACGTGACCCGGCAATTCAATTTTAATCAACTTCAAAATCAACGTAACTCTACAACTAATTATAACCTTTTGGTGCATATTTACACACAATCATATTTACCATGTTTTTGAAATTCATTATTATTATATCCGAAATGCCTCTCATATGTGTGCTTATATTTACCAACTTTGTTTTTCTGATATTTTAAAATTTTAAAATCATTTTTTAAAATTTTAATCATTTTAAAAATTATTTTTGTTAAGTACATTTTTAATAGTTTTGTTATTATTAACTACGGTGTATTATTTACACCGATCTTGGGAGATTAAGATAAAATTATTAATTTATTTTAGAAGTGATAAAAATTAAAAATTTGGTTTTTAAAAACTGCAATACTATTTTTTTTTGCAATACTTATTTTTTTTAAATGCCTTAAGTATATAATTTCTTCTATTACGCATAAATACACTTGAAAAGTATTAAAAATCCATAAAGTATATTTTTTCAAGTGGTTAAATAAAATAACTTGGGTAAAAAAGAGAGGAAAGATAACATTTAGAAAAAGTAAACATTTAAACTAAAAGTAATTAAAGAGATAAGTTGAGGGAGAGGAAATTGTAAGAGTTACATGTGATGAGTAGAAAAAAGAAATTGTAATAAAATGTAATTAAAAGAGTAAATAATTTCCTAAAGTACATGGAGTGAGTACTATGTAGTAGATATGATTGTTGATGGCTTTTCAAATAATGTCAATTATTAAATCTTAAAAACAATTAAGTTGACTAATATAAAAAGGGTTTTTTAAGTGAGAATGGTTTTGATTTTATAATTAATTTTTAGTAAGGATGTTAACTTTTGGACTGAAATTTGCTGGTCTGGTCTGGTCTGTTTAAGTCTGGTCTGGTCTAAAGTGGTCTAGTAAACGACTGGTCTCTGTGTATTTTATAACTACGGAAGTCTGGTCTGGTCTGGTCTGTTTAAGTGTGGTCTGGTCTGATCTGATCTGATCTGTTTAAGTCTGGTTTGGTCTGGTCTGGTCTGCGACTGAAAACATTCTTTAAGAAACTGAATAAAGGAGTGTTTGCAAGAGATTATTTTAAGGGGGTTAGGTCACCAATATTAATAATTATAAGAGATTAGACAAATATAAGACCTCTTTCTAATTTTTCCAAAAATGAGATTACCGTGTGACCATTTAGTAAGTTAATAGGATCAAAATATCAGAAATATCCCTAGTTGATTAATACTCCTTACTCTATATATACAATAACTACATATTACTCGTATGTACTACCGTACATATATATCATTCTAAAATCATACTCCGTAATGAATACATATGTACTAAATTGCAATTGTTCTAAAATCATACTCCGTATTCCGTAATGAATACGTATGTACTAAATTGCCATTGCCATTTCTTAGCTCCTTGAAATGTTATGGCCATTTTAAAAAAAGTTTTATGATTTTTTTTGTTTCCAGAATTATGGTTATCCGGTTACACGTCCAACTACTTATAGTTATCCGCTATTCCGCTCGACACCTGTACTATTAGAGTTATCCGTCGCCAATTACAATTAGTCGATCGATTATAGTTATTCGACATGTTAGTTACAGGTACCCAATACGATCAATTACAATTACTTAACCCGTTAGTTACAGTTATCTGATTAGTTACATTTATCCGACTCGTCCAGTTACAGTTATCGAACCAGTCCAGTTACAGTTACCTGACCCGTCCTGTCACTGTTAGAGTTACCCGACCCGTCCAGTTACAGTTACCCGACCCGTCCAATTACAGTTACCCGACTCGTCCAGTTACAGTTACCGACTCGTCCAATTACAGTTACTCGGCCCGTCCAGTTACAGTTACCCGACCCGTCCAGTTACAGTTACCCGACCTGTCCAGGTATCCGATTCGTACAGTTACAATTATCTGATCCATCTAGTTACAGTTACCGACCTGTCCGGTTATAGTTATCCGAACGTGACCGTTACAGTTACCCACACTGACCGGTTACAATTAACTCTAATCAGTTACCTCGGGCGGACCGGTTATAATTACCTTGTCCAATATATAGTAACCACCACCGAAAACTACCGCCGGAAACCACCACCGTTTACCACCACCCGATTGTCGGCCGCCAACCCCAACCCATCTCCAACACCAGCCCCCTGCCCCTTTTCCAGCCTATCCCAGGTCCCCTCTCCCGCCTACCCCAGCCTCACTGCCACCGCTGAGGCCTGCTACCTTGGCCACCACCGCCGCCCCCAGCCTTCTCTACATGTTCCCAACCTTCTCCGCCAACTCCCCAACCCACATCCCTTACCCAGTCGTCGCCGCCTATTCATCAAATTGGAGGGCGTCCATGGATTGGGGTTTTGCTTTGTCGATGGAGCAACTGTCGTCGGTCTTCTTCATCAAAGTCGGATATCTTCGTCAAGAAGAGAGCAACGTTGCAGATCGAAGTGAAGCTTCACCACCGCCGCCGGCGTAGAATAAAATCATCGAAGAGGAAACTGCATTGCAGGTCGGAGAAGAACGTCACTGTTTTTAGTGGAGAAGAAAGCATCGAAGAAGAGGGAGGTTTCAATTTGAAAAAGAGAATGCAAGCTTCAATGGAGAACAAACTCACTCACAGAAGAAGAAAAAGATGTGCGTGTTCTGTTGGAGAAGAAAGTACGGAGTAGGTATCAACTAGAGAGGGTATTTGTGACATTTCGGATGAGCTTTAGTCCCATATATGTCCGGATAGAAATTAGTATCAAACTTGTCCACCCTAAAGCTAGCGCTCTTACTTCCGTCATTATTTCTATTTTAAGTGCTTTTAGCTTCTAGCTTTAAAAAAGCAGAAATTAGTGTTTGCAAACACTAGCTTCTACTTAAAAAAAGTGCTTTAAAAAAAGTGCTTCTTGACTTTTTTTTTAATTAATTCAATCTTTATAGATAGTTTTAATGGAACACTTATTTAATCTAGACCAAAAGCACCCTCATTTGTACTCTTTCGTCGGACTTCATACACACAAGGATGACGATGTCTGAGGCAGCCGTAAATGACACCACCGACCGAGCTTTGGAGCAGATTTTACCACCGACCGAATTACAGAGGAAGCAATACCGGTTCTAATCCTTCAGTTGGATTGAAGGAATCAATTTGCAAGGATGGTGCCCCATACGGCCATACCCGTACCCTTAATAAATTACCGGCGCTAAGTTTTTCCCACTTCAGAGCAACTCTTGCGGCTTTGTTGATAAAAGGAATTTGGTTTGCTCGATTTGTTCTTTATCTGAATTATTATTGAATGGACAATTGGTGTTTTGCAAAGCTCTGGAGCAGACAGGAACTTGCCAGAGGATAGAGATGCTAGATGTGTTGGCTGCTAAGGGCAAATTGGTATTTTAATATAATATTACCTAAAACAATCACTTTTTTATCAAACACTCCAACTTTTACATTTTAATTAAAACCACTTCTATTCCCAAACATTACCAACTTTTATTACAAATCACTTTTCCAACAATCTCTTAAAAAAACCACTTTTAAAAAGCACAAGCAATCGCAAACACTCCCTAAATTTGAAATGCATTCCATTGTGAGCTTCTTAAGTTTTGTGAGTAAGCCACCGAGAGGACAAATCAGTCCAGTAGTGGAATAAAAGAGGTGCGCCAAGTAATATTGAAGGTGCGCCGAGAACGTCCGTTTTCACAAGTTCGGCAACTTGTGTAAAAGCACAGCGTAATAGACATCAATGACACATTTGGATATGGTTGTTCAGCCGAATCTGCGGCAAAAAGCTGATTCAAAGAGGCAACGAATTTACGCCAACAGAGAGAATGAAGAACGGATGTCTGTAGACGAAGAGGGAGACGGGGTCGACGAGGGAGAGGATGAAGACGAAGACGGCGAAGAAGAGGATGAAAAATACTGGTGGGAGGATGAAGACGACGGGATGCCGAATTGGTATCTCAGGAGTTACCTTTCACCCGACGATGAAGACCGCAAGGAGCCGATTGATGCTTGTCCGTGTCGCGCGCATAATCTTGGTGATCGCAGCAAACAGATTAATTTAGCTGGCCTTTCAGACGTGGTGGAGTTGATTAGCGTCGAGATTCGTGGAGATGGGTGTCCTGACTTGAGCAAAATCTGGGGAATTGTCGATGTTCATGGGATCTATGGACACATTTTGTTTGATGTGAAGAAAAGTGACGCAACTGCCCCCTTACCACCGTCATCTTCCAGCGCGAAACTGCAACTTCCCTTGAATCGGGGGCCTAATAGCCCGGAAGGCTGTCAAATGAGTGAGAAATATGCCATCTATGTCTGTCTGAGGGAGAAAGGTACTGGCAAATCGCTGGTATATGATGAACTTTCTGGTGAGGCTCCCTGTATGTACGCGGAACTCTATTTTGATGGAAAACTTACCCCTGCTGCCTCTTTTTCAGAAGACTTTAGAAAGTGTAAGGCCAACCCTTATGGGCTTAGAGAAGAATACCTTGCTTATGGTCCTTCTAGGCTTCCAACTCCAATCTTGGCCAAGTGGATTGTTCATCCTCTTGCTCTTCGAGCTGCCATAAGAATGGAGGTTTTGTTTCCAGCAGACAAGGGAGGCAGCAGTGATGATTGCTTGAAGCTTTACGGGGAGGTCACTGCTAGTTCCTGCAGAGTTAAGAAGCTCAAAACCCTGCTTTTCCACCACCAATCAGAAGAAGGAATACAAGTTACTCGCCTAGAACCTGGAATTCCTCTTTCCAGATCAGTCGTTGGTGTGTCTTTCCTCTTCTCGCTCCGACTCCAATTGAGTCTACATGTTGTGGGCAGAACGCCTTTGCCTGATGTGCAAGAAATGCTAATCTTTCATGCATTTCCAGGAAAGCATGAAAAGACTCCGCTAGACCTTAGTACATCTGAGTTATTTAATCCTGACTACGCTATAGAGGCACGGAAGAGGTTTCTTAAAAAAAAATTGTAGGAGTTCAGGTGTGTGTGACGTGATATTTTATGGCATATAAGCCCTACCATCTTTTAGTGTAGACTTGTCTAAGTTTGTTCTCTTGCATTACCCATTAGAAGCAGTTTCTCTTTTTCATTATGCATCCTTCTCTTCAAGTTTCATGAATGACAATGTGCTGCTTTCCATCAATCTATCTGGATAAATGGTATGCCCAACTGATCTGAGTGTTTACTTGAATTGGAGACAAGGGATTGGGATTACATATGAACGGAGGCAAGACAACATTTCTCATTCATGAGTACCTGCAACGTGGGGAGACATTTCAGCCACTGTAGGTTTGTGATTGCATCATTATGTTGTAAACTCTGCTTCATTGTAATACTATTAACAATTATCATTGTTATTATTATCTTTTTGTTGTTCTGTAAGACTGCTTCTGTATTGCTACTTTTGAAAAAATAAAGCATGGTCTTAGTATTTATGCAATTCTTTTCGTTGCCAAGTACGTAGTAGCTGTTTACATATTGCAGGCTGAGGCTTGAGGCTTGTAATGACGTGGCTTTAGCCATAGATTCAAATGAAGGAAAAAATGTAAAATTTTATGCAACAACCGATGCCTTATTCTTTAAATCATTTGTATTATTGTGTGTTTACATTAATTAATGGGTGTATCGATTGTTTTCTGTAATGATGAAATGCAAATCCCATGGAAGGTAAGAATTAGTTTGTTTATATTTAAACCCTTAAACATAAGGAAAAATTGATAATAATAATCTCAACTATTGGCGGTCCGCTTATAATAATCTCAACTATTGATTATTCCAGAACAATCCCAACTTTAGGGACCTTCCGCCAATAATGGTTCCTATGAATAAATTCTTGTAGTTTCTAAAGTGGATAAAAAGAGATATAGCAAGTAATGTCTATAAATAATCTCAATTTTTAATTTTTACGCTTAATTTCTATTTAAAATTCCCTTTTTATAGGAGTTAAATCTGATCATGGACCATTATTGGCGGACGGTCCATGTAGTTGGGATTATACAAAAATAATCAATAGTTGAGATTATTTTCGGTGGAGCGCCAATAGTTGGGATTATTATTTTCAATTTTTCCTAAACAAAATCCAACTATCCAAGTCATGGCATACAACTACGTTTAGGCTTGACCAAAAATGTGTTATTGCGGGTTTGCAATGGGCTTGACTGGTTTGACCGCGGCTCTAGTTTGCCACTTTGCCCTGAGATTAATTTTTGCCACTTTGCCCTTCCCTGTTCGCGTCGGGATGTTAATAGCCAGGGGTGAACAAAAAAACCGAAAAACTGAAACCGACCGACCAAAACCGACCGACCAAAACCGAAACCGATCAAAACCGAACCGACAAAACCGAAATCGACCGAAAGTGACTAATTCATTGGTTATTCGGTTTGCGGTTCGTACTTTTGGCTTAAAAAACCGGTCAAACAAAAATAAACCGGCAAAAACCGGCAAAATGGCTAAAATCGATAAAAAATGATACGAATTGACCAAAATTGACTCAATTTTTGTGGCCCGATTCTCGGTTTCATCTATTTTTAAAGTCGCTAAAACCGACTGACTAAAAACCGAAATCGATCAAAATTGACCGACTAAAAATCGAAACCGACTAAAACCGAACTAATAAAACCAAAACCAACAAAACCGAACCGACGAACACCCCTATTAATAGGTGTAAACAGATAGAAACAATAAAAACATCAATAGCACCCACAAACAAAATAAGTTGATTATAAACAATTAGTCTTTTACTTGTGTATTGCACAAGATAACAACTTTTGAAATTGCCCATGAACTTGTCCAATTGTATACCTAAATTTACATTCTTGACTGCGTAAATATGGTATGGACTACATATTAATTTGTGGATTATATTTAACTACTTAAGTAGGGGCAGAGCCAGAAAAATGTGTGAGATGGGTCGAAATTTAATTATATACAATATCAAAATGATGGATAGTTATTATACGATATTTGAGTTAAATGTTTCATATGTAGCTGTGATAAATGGTAGCTTAATGGGCAGTTTTTAGTCAATGTATTGATATATATGTAATTTATCATAATGTTCACACAACTAATGACTGAATAAGGTGTTTTATTTTTAAATTAAGAATATAATCAACATCCCCCATCAAATTTTGCTTATTTCAAGTTAAGATGGTGCTGATTTTTTCAGAAGTCATAATTTTTTACTCGTAATGAGTTACGGGACCCTTTATACTTCATCCGTTCCCTTTTAATTGCAACAGTCAACATTTCACGTTTGCCATGCACAAGTTTGATCATTAGTATCTTTCCTTCATTATTAGTAAACATTTTAAAAAATTCATATTTTGAAAATTTAGAATGAGAAGAATTTAACAATATTTTTTTAAAATTTTAATTTATAATACATTAATAAATAAAATATGGTCAAAGTAGAATATGTGAATAGTGTAAAAAGTCCAATGTAGCAATTAAAAGAGAACGATGGTAGTATATCAAATCGAAGGTATTTCAGAGCTCTACATTCTTGAACTTTCAGCGGGGTCGGCTGACCCCCTGACCCCCCCTTGGCTCTGCCCCTGTATTTAAGTGTGTACCCAAGATAGTATGCTGTCAAAAAATTAACATGTACTACGTTTTAAAAAGTGAGCCAACAATTAGAATTCTATCAACACATCCTTACAGGTTGTAGAATTCTATCAACTCACACATGTCAAAAAAATAACATGTATAAAAAATTGAGCCAACAATTAAAATTCCGCTATATAATATCCTTTATTGAGGTTTTTGTAAACAATTGAATTCTTGTTATGCCTATTAAGTGTTTGTTAGAATGTTTAAACAATAATGGGATAATTTGAGTAAAGTATGATTTTATGAATAACAAATAAAAACTATATTCAATTTCTTATTGAATCTTTGTCAATTCGATTATACTTTTATCCTCTTAAATTTACATTTATGTTAAAATTTAACCTTCTAAACTTTAGACCTCATACGAGTGTTCAATGAAAGTTATATCTTTCGAGTTAATAGTTATAGTAATTTCAGTAAAAGTTGTGTGTTGACCGAGAATCGTAAATAAGTTAAATTGCAATCACTAATTTTAAAGCTATTATGTCCTTTACTTGGACTGCTTTAGAATATCAAAACAATTGATATAAAAACTCAAAACAATAACCTTCAAATTGAATGGTACTAGGGGTCGAGATCATTGTGTAGTAACCGATTATTGTATCATATAGTCAGTGTTCTAAAAGACGTGAGGCGTGACGAGGCGGCACGCCCGAGCCTTAGGCCTTTGAAGCCTAGACGAGTTTAAGAGGGGGTTAGGCGTAAAAAGTCGTTTTAGTTTTATACAAATTAATCTAAACTTTATAGATATGTTAGAAAATATATAAGTGTAATATTATAAAATATCGTGCAAAACATAATACTGTTTTATTTTCCAGCAAAAATAAAATTTTAAAGTACTAAAACAACACCTATTTTATGCATCTAGTATATAAAAAGTAAAATTTGGTAAAATAAAGTTCAATGATAATATTAGCTAGGCCTATAATAAAATAATTTATAATAATCATTATAAGAATCCATAATATGCATTGGGCTTAAAAGTATAGTTAAAATTTTATATTTGGAGACGTAATGGTCACGCGTTGGGCCTAGACCCCTTTGTTGCGCTTTTATGGGCCTTTTAAAACACTACATATAGGTGATAATTCAACTTTTATGATTTATGGCTTTGACGGTTTGACCATGAAGAAAGGGGTAGAATTCAGCAAGTTGGCCTAGCTAGCATTTTGATACACTTTTTCTACATGTTTACAATTTCTTTTATACCACTTAAATTTATAATATTAATACATTTTCATCAAATATAGTCAAAGCCTCCAAAACCTATACCCAATTCACTAAAATTAAATGATAAACTATATAATATAATTTATAGAATATAATAGTATAAAATAAAGAAAATAGAAAGAAATAATTAGAAATACTAAAATGGAAAAACAAAACATTTTGGTTTTTAGAATTAATAATCTCATGATTTCTTTTTTAGGATGTTTTTACCTGGACTTTTATTTGCTGGTCTGGTCTGTTCTGGTCTGGAAAATGTTCGGTCTCTTTGTATTTTATAACTACAGAAGTCTGGTCTGGTTTGTGTGTTTAAGTTTGATCTGGTCTGATCTAGGACTGAAAACTGTCCAAGTAAAAACATCTTGAGATTTCATATGATAGCATTGCGGATTGACATGAATTTATTGGCATGTTAACTCGGTGAACTTATATTCTTCGTGGGTAATTTTTTTTAAATTTAAAACATGAAATTGAAGTGGTCAAGTTAACATCGTGCAGTGCCATAACTCATTAGCTATCGAAGAATTAAAATACTCCAATACCCTGCAAACAGGGGCGGAGCCAAGGAGGGTCAGGGTGGTCAGCCGACCTCCCTGAAAATCGAAGAGTGTAGAGCTCTGAAGTATCAACCCCTAACTCATAACGAGTAAAAAGTTATGAGTTCTGGAAAATCAACATTATGTACACGTAAAATTAGCAAAATTTGATGTTTACTAATGATTATTTTTCCAAATTTTAAAAATACCATATATATCAAAAATAATAATATATGTTCATGTCCATGCATGTATATCATTTATTAAAAAAAGTGAATTTATGTGGTTGATATTGAATTGGTAAAATAAGAATAAAATAAAAATGATTTAGAGGTACGCAAATTTTGTAGGAGACAATCTTATTTAATGTTAAATTAAATAATGGAACAACGCGCTAAGGATGTTTTTAATTGGATTGTAATTTGTCCCAGACAAGACCAGATCAGACCAGACCAGACCAGACCAGACCAGACCAGATCAGACCAGACTTGGGTAGTTATAAAAATACAAAGAAACCAGACCAGACCAGACTAGTTCAGACCAAACCAGACTAGTTCAGACCAAACCAGACCAGCAAATTACAATCCAAGTAAAAACATCCTAATTGTATATTTGATTATATGTATTACTCCGTGTAAAAAACAGACCAAAAGGAAGGCGGGGTAGAAAGCTAAGCTGGTCAATTATTAATTAATCAGTAGAATTTCGTTGCTTTTGGTATTCGGATGGGGGTGCAACCTTAAATTCCTTTTATATACACGTTTGTGTGTAAACAAACATTTTTATATAAATAAGTTTTATTTTAGTAATATCATGTAAAAAAAAACCTTTTGATAAACCCCCACCTCCATTTTCCATAACAGAAAACCTCTCTCTTCAGCTCCCACCCATTTTGTCGTCATGTAAAAAGTTGAAAAGTTGCTATTAGCATTTCAGCTCCTCCGCCTCCGACTCGCTTCATCCTTCCACTTGCTCGCCTTTCGCAGCCTCTAAAGAAAAAGAAGAGCAGAAATGTAGGAGGAATAAGCCAAGTAGCTCTGCGAATAAGTGCTCTGCAGCTTAGCTCGCTCGTCGCTCACCTCCTTAGCCCTGTGGCATATTGACACTTGTTTGAGGTAGATTTGTTCTCCATCAATGGCTCCTCACTTGCTCCTACATTTGTTCCTGTTGGGTTCCTTCCTTAATTGAGAA